AAATCATTTCAAATTCAGAGAAAAGTGTGAAATAGTACACTTAATTGCCATATGAATGACCTTCACCAGAACTGTGAACTGCCCTCTCCATGCATTATTTGATGTTATCTGATCTATAGATATATACATATATATTAGAATTATAAGTATTTCTTCTCTTCCTGAATCATTTGGAACAAGTCTCTTGCCCCTAAAAGTTTCAGTATTATTTCCTAAGAACAAGGACATTCACTTACATAACCACAGCACAGTTATCAGCTTCATGAAACCTAATATTGATTGAATACTATCAGCTAATCCACAGTCCATATTCCAGTTTTGTCAATTGCCTGGATGATTTTCTTTGGAGCAATTTCTCCCCTGATCCAAGATCCAATCAAGAGCCTCACATCGTCTTTAAGCTGTCACATGTTTTTTTCTTTTTAAAGTCTCTTTTAATCAGGAACAGTTCTCAGGCTCCCTTTGTCTTGCATTCCATTGACATTTCTTAAGAGTCCAGACCAGTTCTGTAAAATGTCCCTCAATTTGAGTCACTCCCTCCATTTAAACCCTCCACTGCATCCTCATTCCTCATAGTTTAAAATTCCAAGACCTCATGACCCACCTTCAGGGACCTACAGGATCACTCCTCCCCACCCACCCTCCCACTGGCTCCGACTATTCCCATGGCTCTAACACTCCAGGCTCTTGGCTTCTGTGTTCCATCTACTTTCTCTTCATCGCACTTTTCTGCCCTTCACACACAAACACACAAAAAGGTCACCCCTACGGATCACTCTGGTCGGTTGCACAGACACAGCCCCTCACCATTTGGACCAGACCACAGCCTGTATCCCTATTCAAAACTACTTCCTGCACAGATTCATGTTTTCACTGCCTGCTTCTTCCATAGAACATGAGCTCCAATGAACGCAAAGGTTTCTGTCTGTTGTGTTCACTGCCAAATTCCTAGGACCAGACCAGTGCCTGGCACTCAGGAAGCACTTGGAAATTATTTGCTGAGTAAATGAACAAATGAGGAAAGGAGAAAACCCTGGAATTGGGAGAGCCAGAACGCCCAAGAGGCCCTCCCAGATTCCAGAACCCTCACATGGCCTCCCTCCTTCCGCCTGGCCTCCCTCGTTCCAGCCAGAGAAGGAAGTACCCTGCAAATCTCCCTTATCTTTCTATCACTCCACCAGCCAGTCCTCACAGATTAATCTTTCTAAATCAATCCCAGCAGGTTGACAGGCTGGATTCCAAAGATGGATCTGATCAGACCCTGCAAAGGCCCATGGTCCCCTATTGTCCGCTGGCCAGGCCAAAGTGCAATGCCTCCCCACCCAGATCCTTGGATCCCACCAGGCTATTCATGTATCCTCCCTGGGCCAGCCCAGAAGGTGGGGGTAGGGAGAGTAAATATCCAAATACAAAACCCTGCTAATAGCTCTTTAATTGCACCATATGAGGAGGACTCAGTCCAGGTCTCCACGACCCAGAGCAGAGCCAAGCCTCAGGTGCTTGTCACTTACTTGTTCATTTCACCCATCAGACTGTGAATATTTGCTGTTCATGCTATATCAATACTCAAGGTTACAGGAAAGGTAAAAGCCACCATTTATTTGATCCCAATCACCATTCATGCTTGATTTTACCTTCAGCAGAGGAAGATGCCAAAGCCCATTGCTTTGACCCACAATACAAATAAGCATCTCCAGGAGACCCTCACTCACAGCAGACCCTGTCAATACCCGCTTGGTTGGAGTCTCTTTCCCTACACAAACATGATCTCATGACAGCCCTCTGGGAAGAAGCCCTAGGTAATGTACCTCTCATTCTCTCACTGTGTGACCCCAGGCAAATCCCTCAACCTTTCAGGACTTCCCCTTATAAAAATAAAAGAGTGAAGATGGGGCTGATAACACTGGCAGGACCTAAGGAGCTGACAGCCAAGAAGAGAGGGTGGTGTCAGAAAAGAAAATTTAGCACCTGCACCCCACAAAGAAAACGGGGAGGGGTGCCAGGCTGAGGAATTTCTAATCCAGCCCAGCCCCAAGCAGTGAATGGGAGCGGTTCCCCATCTTGTGGCTAATGGGATTAGCACTGCTCAGCTCTGGGCGTTGGCCTGGGGTGCTGGGGTGCAAGGTCTACACAGAGCCACTGGAGGTGAGAGGGGGGAAGCAATCTTCCTGTATTTCCTCTGTCACCTCAGCCTCAGCATGCAGAAGTCAGGCAGCTCCAGGAGACTGACTGGAGACTGACTGGCCACCACTTGCTAGGAATCCTCTGCTGGTAGCTTGGTATTTTGGTGCCTCAGCCTCCTCATCCAGCAAACGGACATTAGGAGGCTGACTGCTACATCAGGTTAGGCGCGACCCCTGGCTCCATGCACACCCACAGAGACGCTCCAAGAGTAGTGGCTGTTTTCAAGGCCTGTCATTAGGATACTTTGCCTTTGTAAGCCCCAGCCAGCTCCTGAATGGGGAGTGCAAGAAACCCCTCCCAAACTCACAGAAAGCAAGCGAAAGCCCTGCCAACAAGGCTGACCAGAGGTCCGATCTCCAGGCTGCGATCATCCCTTCCCACGCCACATTCTTGGGCCCAAATCTGGAACCAAATGACCCAAAAAGCTCAAGACACACACACACAAAGTATCACTGTGGACTCACAGGGCGAGCAAAAGCGGATGGCCCATGTACCCCAGGGTTAGTTCTTCCTTAGGGTCTCTAACACCCCTCCTCAGTCACAAAGCACCTCTTGGGAAAAAACCCATGCCCTAGTCATAGTCCTAGGCTGAATGCGCCCCGGGGCCCAGACATGGTCTTGTGCCCCTCCCCCTCCCGGTCCCTCACAAAGGCCCTTTGTCCCGTGGAGCCCCGGGGACTCCAGTTCCTGAAAAGTTCCAGGAGAAAAATCAAAGAGAGGCAAAATCGAAGAGTTCAGCCGCACAGGCAGGGTAAGACCGAGGCAGCCAGTCTGGGTCCACTGGGTGTCTTTGCCAAGACCCCAAGAATATGAGGGCATGAGAGCACCCCTGCAAAAATCCTAAACTACAGTTGGGAGAAAAGGTGGATATTGTTAATAAAAGTCGGAGCTTGGGAGGACAGGCGCAGGAGCTAGGGGAAGAAGCCAGGCAAGGAGGGACCCAGCCTCCTGGGGGCGTACACTGGCAAGTTTGGAGCCCGCGGAGTCTCCCTTTGCTTTCCTTCGCTCCCCGCCTGGTTGCGGCTGCTGCAGCACGGCCCCGGCAAGCGTCTCTCTTCCCTCGCAGCACCCGCCCGGAGGCCGCCCCCACCTCTCCTGGATAACCCCTCTGAGGAAATAACGGAGGCCACCAAGCCTTTTCAGCCACCTCCGGCGGGTTCGATGTCAGACCCACGGAGTCACCTCCACCGCCCGTGCCCGGGTGATCCGCTCCCCATCCCTGCGCCGCTTCTTTCCTTTTTAAGTTCAGGATGGCCTGGTTTCGGCATCCCCACCGCACCTCTCACCCTCTTTCCAGCCGAAGAACAAGAGAAGTTTTCAGAGCCGGGGCCGCTGCTCTCCCACTGGGGCATTATGTTCCTAGAGCCTCTGCCCGCTTGCCAGAGGCCAGGGTTTCAGGCTTGGGGTCGCCATCCTCCTGCATCCCCCAGCGCTCAGCAACTGCCAAGGACCCGAATCAGCGCGGTGGTGGAGCTGGGAGCAGAACCCAGGGCCCACAGGCGCCGGCAAGGATGTATGCCAAGAAAAAGATTCAAGCTCGAGGAATGGTGTCTCACGGGGCGTGGGGGCTGGTTTGTTCTTTTCTCGCCCAGATTTTGAAAACTCTTGCCCAGGCTCGTGCCACAAGGACCGGGAGACTGGAATTGCCCTCAGGGGCTCCGATTTTTGCAGACCCTTTTGTCCCAGGAGGGTCGCCACGCCGGGGAAGGCAGCTGAGCCGCTTGCCCCTCTCCGCAAGAGCCTCCAGACAGTCCTCTGCCCAGGACCAGGGCTCTCCCCGCCCTGGGAGCTGAACCTGTCGGTACCCCCGCGGCCAGCCGAGTTAAAGAGGACACTGAACCCCGGCCGCCAGTGCCGGGTAACCAGCCAAGTAGATCTTCCGGGGCCTCCCTCCCCAGGATCCCGAGGAGACAGAAGGAAACAGGCATGGCGCAGGGCACTTACCCGGGTGCGGGTGTAGGTTAAGGCCGGCCATGTACTTCCCGGGCGGCAGCGGGCCGGGCAGTCCCGAGGCGGGTAAGCGTCCGGCAGTGGCCGCGCCCACACGGTGGCTGTCCATGGCCAAGCCGGACAGTAGCGGTGGCGGGGGGCCGTGCACGGACCGCTGGGGCCCGAAGTCTCGGCCATCCATCCTCCGCGGGAGTGCCGCGGCCAGCCCCCCACCCGGCCCGCAGGCCTAGCTCAGCAGGACCTAAAAGTTCGGCCTCGGCGTAGTCCTAGAGTCCTCGGGTGGCGTGTGCTCCGCGGCGTGCATGGCGGCGGCCAGCGGGGCTTGCGCTCGGATGCGGGCCCGCGGCCCGGAGCGCACAGGCGGCCGGCGGTAGGGCTCCTCCGGGCTGCCTGACGGAGCTGCGCTAGACGGCCCACTCGGCGTCTTGGCGGGGAGAGGAGACGGGCGGCGGAAGAAACAGAAAGGGAGAAAGAAAGAAAAAAAAAAAACAACCAAGTTTCAGAAAGTCGTATCGCCTTTCGGGATCGGGGACAGTCGATCTGGTGGCCAGAAATGAAATCGGGAGTAGCCCTGTTTCTGAGAACAGTTAAAATCCATGCTCCTTTCACCAGCAGCTTTAAGCTCCTGAGGACCCGGCTGGGAAAAGTGACTGGTGGCGCGCTGCGCCCCAGCCCAAATTCTGCCTCGCCCGCTGCCCGGTCCTCACCAAACCGGGTAAGGTCTCTTGGTTGCGCCCAGACAACGAAAATACAAACCTCCTAAGTGTGTTTATTCCTGGGCATCACATGCTCCTGCAGGGTTTAAAACCGTGAAACCCTTCCACGAGCAGTTTGAAATGTCTACCTAAACACTGTCACTATCTGATCCGGAAAGTTTAATATTTAACCTTTTTGGAACCTCGCTTCCCTTTTGAGTTTGGTTTTCCCGAGCTCTCCTTAAGCCGCCGAAAGAGTACCTCCCCCCTCGCCGCAGGAGGGAGAGTGGAAAGCAGGTTTATTATTTTTAAAAAGGCTCGCCAGCCCCCACCCTACCCCTGCCGCCACAATGAGTCCCAAAGTCTGAGTCCGAGGGACCCGAGACGTGGCATTCACGCCTGAGGACTAGAGAAAATCCTTCAAAACAAGCTTTGGTTTCATTTTCCAACGCCCTAGCCTGGGAATCCTGCGGCTTGAGGACGCGGCCTGGCCCGGGCGATTTGGGGGACTGACAGAAGGGAAGGAAGGAGATCTCGCTCTACTCTAGCTTCCTCCATATCTCCCCCCTCCCAAATAACCTACAAACGAAACCTTCGCAGCGCGGGCCGTTCAAGGGGCGCCTCCCCCACCGTTGGGTAAATCCCCCTGTAGTTCCAATTTAAAGCTGTTTATTTAAAAGATTTGCTGATTCCCATGGGGGAGGGAGAGGGTCTTGAAGCCCACCCTTCCCTCGCTCTCCGTCTGTCCGCTACAGCTCAGATTTCTGATTCAGAAGGCCCGGGTGCTCTTGGAGCCGCCGATCACACCAAAGCCATCGGTTCCTGGGTGCCCGCCCTGCACTCCGCGCCCAGCCCCCCGAGCAGCAGACCCTCAGCTGCAGAGTTCTCATCCAAACCCGCCGGCCTCCTTCTTCCACCTCCCTCCCCAACTTTGTTAAGGGTGCCTATTTAAACCTGGTTTTGGTTACAAACACCCCCCTCTTTTCCTCCCTCGCTCTCCCCCATCAGGCTCTGGTTACCAGATCTGCGTTTACTTTGGAAAAATCTAAGATCGCCACATCCGAGGATACGTGTCCTAAGGAGGCAATGAGCTTCCTGTGATTTTTTTTTTTAAAAAATATGTTCTTTAAGTAGCTTTCTTTTAAAAGCCAGAGCCTTGTAGAATGCCTAGGCACCCCAGTTTGTGGAAGTCAGGGTGAAGCCCTCCGAAACACCCTGCTCTGGCAGAGAAGCTGGCTTGGACATCTGCGGACTCTGCTGCGTACTCCCTACTTTTCTCCCTCTCTTAAATGCAGTTAAAATGGCTGAATTCCGGCTTTTAATTAAAAACAGCCTATAATCGAAAACGTCTCGGCGTCTTCGGCTCTCCCGCCGCCTGCTGGGAACCTAGAGAGGAACCGACGCCCTCCGGCCGGGCAGGGCCGGGCGAGCTGGAGCGGGGCTGGGGGCTCAGGTGGTATCCTAGGGCGCAGCAACCTGCCCCCACCCCTCCCCGGGCGCCCCTTTCTCGCTGACCCTGGTCCCCGATTCAGTTCTCGGAAGTCGGACAGCTGCAGAGATCCCCAGCACACCCCGAGGGGCAGGCAGAGGGCAGGGGGCAAGCTGGAGAAGTTTGGAGACCAAAGCGCTCGGCCGAGGGCCGGCAGGCGGACCGGCGTCGTACCTGGCGCGGCTGGGCTCCTGACTCCGGGCTCCGGCGACAACGACTTCGGTGGCAGCCCCGGCTCCCGGCGCGACTAGGCGCCCGTGCTGCCCGCCATCCCGCGGCTGCCGCTCCCCTCCGCCACCCGCAGCCGCCTCACACTTTTTGCCCGCCTTTCCTTTTTTTGGTAGAAAACCGCTCCCCGGGCCGAGCGCTCGGCGCGCCAACTCCTCCGCCCTCCCGCGGCCCGGCTCCCGCAGCCCCCGGAAAAGCCAGCTTTCCTCCCGCCGAGCTCCCCGCTTTTTAATAAAATCCAGGTAGCGCCGGTTTAAAGAATCCCAAATCTCCATATACAGCCCGGGATTGGAAAAGGTACATTACACAACCCCCCTTTCAAGTTCCTCTCGCTGGATCTAAAAAAAAAAAAAAAGCCAGCGGGGGGGAGTGGGGGAGGGGAACACTCGCAGGCAAAGAAACACGCATTGTTCCCTGCACCCGCCCTCCTCCCTCCCCCCCCCCTCCCCCCCCCCCCCCCCGGCCAGCCCCTTGTCGCCCCCCATTGGCCGCGCGCGCCGCCAATCACGCGCATGTAAACACCTTGGCCCTGAGCCATTCCTATAAAACCAATTACGGACCTAGGGGCTCCAGCAGTTTCCAGGCTCCCCACGGCGGGTCTGAATGATCAAAACTGGTGGTGAGAATTTTTCCGGGCCGTTTCTAGGCAGCCCTCCCCCTCCACCAGCTCCGACCCCCCCCTTCTCCTTCTCCTCCCTTTTCCTCCCCCATCCCCCAGCGTCTGGGCTGAGTGATCAAAATAGAGGAAGATGGTTGTCGCCGCAATCCAGGGCTTTGCTAGGCGCGGTTTAATGGGCCGCCTGTCAGCTTCCTGCTTGCAGGAGGAGGTGACAAGCCGAGCGAGCCTGGGAGGGCCTGGGGCCCGGCGGGCTGCACCCTGCGTCCGGGCCCTGGCTCCTCACCTCTCTTGAGGGGCGCCTCTTGTACGCCCGGTGGAGACGCCAAAACAGACAAGGGCTGCCTCCCCCGCCCCTCTTTTTTTTCTTTTAAAACAAAGCAGGAATTCATCCCCTCTCCCCCAGCAGCGCGGTCGGGTGGGATGGGCTAGAGAGAAGGCCGTTTTCCTAGCCCTGGCCTGCGGGTCCCTCCCTGTAACGCGGTGTCAGATGGTTACTGATTAATATTTTGGAGCGGCGGGCAGCGGGTGAGTCTCTAATCTTCTAAAAGGGGTTCCTATAGAAACGCGGAGGGCGCGTCCCCCGCTCGGCCTAAACCAGGGCTGCGGCGCTTCGAACTGCGCGCCCCTCCCCAAAGCCCCTCTTAGCATGGGCCCTCCCTTTTCTTTTCTTCCCCTCCTCCAAAAAAAATCAGAGCAGAAAAAAGGATTAGATCGGCTGAGCGCAAACTGAATCCCTCTCGATTCTGACATTTCAGCCTATTAGCATTTCTCCACGGGGCCTTCTGAAACCTATTAAAGTGTAATATTAAAAACCTCTTGGCTGGGGGCCTCTCTCGCCTTCCATCCACCGCGCCCCCTCCAGGGAGGGCGAAACCGGGAAAAAAAAAATCTGTTGAGTTCAGAGGAAGCAGCCGCCAAGCCCAAAAGTGCTTGGCTGGCCCGGCGGCCGTTGGGGGAGGGGAGTCCCAATCCCCCAGACTTTGTACTTTTATTTTCCGCTCTCAGCAAAATCGTTTCTGGGTTGAGTAGCCGGGAGCTGCCCGCGGCAAACCTACCTGACTAAGGGCGCAGGGAGTGCGGACCACGGAAGAAGGACTGTCTTGGGGAGCCCCTCACCCTCTCTGCGAAGCCCCGAAGGCTTCTGAGCCAGGCTAGGTATTACATACCCTCGAAAGGAATCTTGGAGGGGCAGGAATCCAGGCCGATCCTGCCTCGGAGAGCAACCGCGGTGGTAGGATTTTAATTAAAACAAGAGAAGCCCGCTCTTTCGCACCGCGCTGCGGACTCAGCGTTTTTGCATTGCTCGTTCTATTTTTTTTAATCCATTTTTAAGGCAACTTTTCTGGAGGGGGTAAAAATGAGCTAGTCAGTGCCCATTCGTTCTATTTTTTTAATTCCACTTTTAGAAAAAAAGGGGGGGTAGGCTTCGAGAGCGAACTGGGGGTGTCTAATTTAATTCCAGGATAAATTTGAGGAAAAAAAGTTCAGCCTCTTGAGGGCAGTTTCAAGTTGCCCTTCTTGGAGCCTCCTGCGCTGGTTTCTAGGCTGCCCTCTTTTGGAAGCTGGAGCTCCGAGGGGGGAGGAGGGAGGAGTGAAAAGGAAAGAAAAGAACGAAAATAGCCGGAGCCAAGGGGAACTAGCCGCGGTGTCCGTGCTTGGAGCTGCGCGCGTTGGTCTCGGTGGCGGCCTCGGCAGTCGAGGCGGCTGGAGGCGCCGGGTGCAGCCCCGGGAAGGCCAGGAGCAAAGACGGAGAGGAGGGGGGTTAGAGAAAGGAGGTATTGTGTCTTTGTGCCTTGGGGGGGAGGTAACTGGCAGGGATAAAATAAATGCGGTGGAACTGCGCTAGGCTGCTGGAAGCCAAAGCAGGGGAAGGAGCCGAGTGTTGGGGCGCCCCGCGCCTTCGTCTTATCCAGAGGTCTGTGCATTCCCAGTAAACACTCCCATGCCCCTGTCCCCTTCGCTTCTTCCCCACCCCTGTCGCCCTCCAGTATTCGGAGTCCAAACCCCCACCCCCACCCTGTTATTCCGCCCGGGATCTGAATGCTTTTATTTTAATATAGCTCAAGAAGTAAACATGTGTCTTAAGAGAGTTGGAAGTGGGGAATACAAAAGGCTTGCGGTATGGGGAAAAAACAAAAGCCTATTTTTATAAATGTTTAATGTTTTCACCCCTGGATGCTCCAAGACGTCGTAATTGTGACGGCGGGGTAGATGTGCCATAAATCATTTAGTTGCTAATAAAAATTCTGCCTGTTTCCCTTGGATTTGCCAATGGCGTTTGCATTTTTCAAGTGTGCGCCTAGTCGGCGTGGCAAACGGAGCAGGCATTTCATTAGGGCCGAGACTCTGGGCAGCCAAGGCCGGCGCGTCCCCTGGGCTTTGTGGCCCGGGCCCCTTGCGCCGCCCTAACTGCACACCGCCGAACTCGAGCGGCCCTCCAGCCGCCGAGGTCCAGTCTCGGTCCAGGGCATAGGGACGCGGCGGCGGCGGCTCCCAGTTCCCAGCCGCCGGGTGGGGCTCATGGGGCAGATCCTGCCGGTGCAGTTCTCTAGGGCTGCGGTGCGCATGGGGCCGCGGGCGGGCCACCCGTCACGGCCGACCTGTATGCGCCCTAATCATTACCCGCTCCCGTGCCTTGAGCCCCTGTAGTCGCTAAGTAAACAGACCCGGAGCCATCTTGGGGCGGGGGAAACCGATCCCAAGCGAAGTCGTTACGGCATCCTGGGCTCTCTAAAAGACCCCCGCCATTAATAAAGGGACCCTTGAGGCACCCTTAGTCGAGCTTCAGGGCCTGGGAGAACACCCTCCCCGCTCTGATGGGCCACATTTAAATGTAAAAGCCAGGCTTGGGCGTCCTATGTGGAGTAGGGTGCAACCGCACAGGCCGCAGGCTGCCAGGGCCTAACCGCCATTTTCCGTGCCCCACCCCCACTTCGCCGCCACCACCACCTCATACTTCTGTTTACCCAGTGGCCAAAAACGGTGTGTGTGTGTGTGTGTGTGTGTTGTACTGACTGGGCGGAAAATTGGCTGGGGCGGGGGCCTCCTCGCAACCCCAAATCGCAGTTCCCGGAGAACCCGCCCAAGCCAGCCTCCGCCAGGCAGTACGATTGTTCGGGGCTAGCCAAGGCCACCAGAGCCCAGGCCTTTTGTGTGTTCGTAGGCCGCCGGCTCCAACTGGACACGTCCCTAGTGACAAAATTTTCCCTTTTTTTTTTTTTT